CCATTTTACACAACTGTCCCAGCCTCACAGCTCATCTTGTGTGTCTGTTTTTTCTGTCCCTCTCTGCTTGTTTGTTGTCAGGGCATGCTGCACACAGAAGCCTTCAATTAGCGAACAGAGCTATTCTTAATGGCTTTGTTTCTCAGATATTCTCCTTGGGCTTTGGTTAACTAACATTTTCTTTAGTTTCCCCAAACAAGCCAATCTATGTGTTCCTGGCCTAGGTTTGTCTCTTCTACTCCCAGGCATAAGCCCTCTCTGAACCCCTTGCTTCTCAATACTGAGAAAGACATTCTTTGTGAAAGGCAGGGCCACCATTAACCTTATCTACCCTGTGTTTCCAGTTTCTACTGCTGAATCACTGTTGTCTCTCAACAGATATTAGTGGAAAGAAAGAATCTTAGGTTTGAAAAGATAATTGGTTAACGTTCTTCGCATAAACAAGTGTACACAAGTCTACTTGTCTTCTAGATGTAAATTGATAATTTGTTGTTATTGTTGTTTGTTTTGTTTTTCAAGATGGGGTCTCTCTCTTCAGAGCCTTAACTGTCCTGGAACTCACTATGTAGAGAGGTAGGCCTGAAACTCACAGAGATCTGCCAACCTCTGCCTAGAACTAACGCACTAGGATAAAAGGTGGTAATTAACGCACCATGGCCAGTTAAGGTGCTTTGTTTGTTGATTGTTTTCTTTTTGTTTATTTGTTTTAATAACAAAGAGAAGGAATAATAGAGATGGCCGCACTTCCTCAGCAGTTTAAAACTAAAAAAAAAGTCAATGAGAAAAATAGATTTATTGATAAAGTTATTTGAAAGTAAATATGGCATATTAGGTTAGATTGTGATTCCCAAAATATACACTTCAGTTCTAACTGCTGGCACCTGTACTTGCTTGTAAACAGAGACTTAGCAAAAATAATCAGTTTAAAATGGAGTCATATCTGGGCTAAAGAGATAGCTCAGCAGTTAAGGGCACTTGCCATTCATGCAGAGGACCAGAGTTTGATTTCCATCACTCACATGAAAACTCACAATTGTTAATACTATAGGACACAACACTCCCTCATGCATAAATTCATCTGTGTACATACATACATATAATAAACAAATACAAAGACAGAGTTAAATCAAGTCATATTCGATTAGGACAGGTACTAAATGCAATGACTACTTCTTGTGACTAGAGAGGCATTTGTTAACACAAACATCTAGGGGACAGACAGAAGTGCTCAGGATGGCAGAGGATGGGGAGATGTGGTTACAAGCACACAATGCCAAGCATCTCTACTAGAAGCTAGGCCATGTAAAAAAGGGTTCTTCTCCAGATCTGGCAAAGTACATGACTCTACTGACACCTTAGTCTTAAACAACCTAGGGTATGATGATTTGTTATATTAGTTCTAGAAAACTAGTAAATATAGAATATACAAAATTACAAAATTTATATGGTCATAGTATTCTAAAAAGGAGGGTGTTTTTTTGTTTGTTTGTTTTTTAGCAGTTTTATGCTTTTTTTTCCCTAAAGAGATGCTAACCTTAGCAGCTTGGCTCTACTAACAATTTAGTTTAAAAATAGATTTTAGTTATCTATATTAGTATTAATAATTCAGTTATAAGATATATTTTATACCTGTGTATGTTTGTGTGTGTGTGTGTGTGTGTGTGTGTGTAAGAGAGAGAGAGAGACTGCAGGTTCATGGGCCCACCCATGTGTGCACAGAGACAAGAGGAGGAGATCATATCTCTTCTCATCACTGTCCGCTTTGTTCTCTTAAGACAGGGTTTCTCATTACAACAGAGCTTGGGGACAGGAAGCGCAAGCCTCGGAGACCTTCCCATCTCTTCCATGCCTAGAGCCCTGCCTTACAGGCACGAGTGTTTGGCCACACTCACTATTATGCATTAGGGGCAAGGATTCATGTTTCACATTTGGGCAGCAAGTACTCTTACCCACAGGGCCACCTCTCCAGCCCTATAGTACCTTTTTTTAAAAAAAGAAAATAAAAGAGATTCATTTTTATTTTATGTGTAGAGAGTTTTGCCTATGCATATGTCTGTGTAGTACATACATGTTTGGTGACACAGGGGGCCAGAAAAGGACACTGGATACCCTGAAACTGGAGTTGTGCATGGTTATGGGTCACCAAGTGGGTGTTGGGAACAAAACCTAGGTCTTCTGTAAGAGCAGCCAATGTTCTTAACCGCTGGGTCACCTCTCCTGCCCTGCTGTCGTACCTTTTGACATCACCCAATGGGACAACACATTTATGAAATTACCTTCTTCAATTGGCTGAAAAGTTAATGAGTCTCCAAATGCAATCAGTTTCTCCTGTTGAAAAATTTATAATCAGAAAATTAAATGACAGCAACCACTAAGTTATTCTTCAGCAGAAAAATTCTGAGTCTTGATTTAAAATAAATAATTTTAGCATACTGAAGATTATAAAACTAGATGCATAACATGCTTTTGCTACATTCTCCAAGCCTTTGTTGCTATGGGGTTTTCGGGGATATGATGCAGATTGAGCTCAGAAAATCATGAGTGCCTTAATCTACAGAATCATTTTAGGATCATGATGAAAGCCATTTTCTTTGCAGGCTTCTGCCATTACCTGAATCAGATCACCTGTGAGCCTGTTTAGTATCTTCTCACTAAGGGAAATGTCTTCAAGATCAGTAAGAACCACCCAAGTTCCGTTCTCAAATTTCACTGGCATAGAAAAGACAATCCCTTCAGGAATGCCAAACTGGCCTGCAGGGAACACACATAAGGCAAAGCATAAATAAATAAAGAATTTGGAAAAATAACTGAGGACACACATAATACATTATACGATTTTAAGATTTTATTTGTAGTGTGTGTGTGTGTGTGTGTGTGTGTGTGTGTGTGTGTGCACTCATGAACATATACATATGCGGAAGCCAGCAGAGGGTGCTAGATGCCCTGGATCTGGAGTTATAGGTGGTGAGCTGCCTGACATGGGTGCTGGGAACCAAATTTTGGTCCTCTACAAGAGCGGCGCATGCTCTTAACCCCTAAGCCAGTAAATGATTCTTAAGGACAATGGTGGAGCTAAGTTTCTGGAATTGCTCTCTGACTTTGACTGGAGCACTCATTCAGACCTGAGCACACACATGTCAGAGTTCTGACCAGCCTCCATTCCTTCCTATCCAGGAGTTATTGCGGTTTTTCTTTTCCAAGCCTTGTGTGTAATTTGTGCCTGTCTTCCATAGCTGTCCCATGACTTTGCATGTAACTCATAAACCTGGACCACTTGATGAATCTAGCCTTCTATTTTAGCTTACTATGTGTTTTAGTTAGGGTTACTATTGCTGTGTTAAAACACCATGACCAAAGCAACTTGGAGAGGAAAAGATTTATTTGCCTTATGGGCCATCATTGTATAACCTGACAATAAGATCCAGTCATGGTATGATTAAGGGGATGATTTTTTATTGTAGATTATGAGAGAGAGAGAGAAGGAGAGAGAGAGAGAGAGAGAGAGAGAGAGAGAGAGAGAGAGAGAGAGAGAGAACAGCTAGAGGCATCTGGAAGAGTACAGAGCAGAGAAAGAGAGAAAGAATCTGAGCTTGACCAGCAGATTGAACCTGGCCATGATAGAAGCAGAAGCTGAATAGAGAAATAAAGAGAGAGAAATGGCGTGAGGGAGACACAGAAAGAGATGGAGAGAAAACTATCAGGGTTATAAGGAGAATGAGTAGCTGAGGGGGGAAGGAAGCTATTGAGCTTGAGGGAAGAGAGAGGAGGTGAGGGTGGCCCCTGGGATGTCAGCACAGACTTTGAAACCTGTGTAACAGGTGCTTGAGCCTGGAGGCCAACATGCACTTTGGCATGCTAATAGGCACCACAAGTAGCCATCTGTCCCTTCTGCCAGAATCAGCTTCATGGATTCTTGAGGAACGCTTGTTTTTTATCTAACCACCAGAATTCTCCTACAGTCCAGGTTGAACCCATTTCTGGATATTTGAACTGCCTTTTGGAGTTTGGGGAACTGAAGTCATTTTTGGCTCTAATGATCACCATTGTTCGCCATTGAAGGAATTCAGGAAAGGAACTCAAACGGGAGGAACCTAGAGGCAGGAGCTGATGCAGAGACCATGGAGGAGTAAAACTTACTGGTTTGCTCCATATGCTTACTCAGCCTGCTTTCTCATAGCACCTAGGACCACCAGCCCAGAGGAGGCCTCACCAACAATAGGCTGAGCCCTCTTGCATCAATTACTAGTTAAGAAAATGTCTCTTGCCTACAGCCTGATCTTAAGGAGGTATTTCTCTTTTTTTCTTATTTATTTATTAGTGGATATTTTATTTTTTTACATTTCAAATGTTATCCCCTTTCCCGGTTTCCCCGCCTGAAACTCCCTATCTCATCCTCCCTCCTTCTGCTTCTATGAGGGTGCTCCACCACCCAGCCACCTACTCCCACCTCCCTGCCCTGGCAATCACATACACTGGGGCATGAGCCTTCACAGGATCAAGGGCCTCTCATGGAGGTATTTCTCAATAGAGGCTCCCTACCCTCCAGTGACTCTAGCTAGTTTCAAGTTGACATGAAACTAGCCAGCACACTATAGGAGCCATGTTGGTCAGGAATGCTGGACTGGGACTGGAAGGGAAGTGAACAGGAGACCTGGTTATTTTCTTATAGCTTTCAGTTCTCCACTTGTTCTCTTGGAAAACGAATCATACTTTCTTCCTATTGTATTTAAGTCCTGTGAATGGCTTTCAACTGGGAAATTGCAAACTCCTGCTGTTCTGCATAGCAGAAGAATGGCTGTCAGCAGCCATGGGAGTCACAGTCAGCACTGGCCCATTTGCAGCCTGAGTTCTTTTCAGAGACCCACTGTGGGAGAGACAGATACTGAATCATCTTGAAGAAAACAACCTCAAGACAAGTCAACATAAAGCAACCCTGGGGTTTTCTAAAGCAGGGTTTATTAAGTAAAGGGCTTCTGTAACACTTAAGGGTGGATGTAAGCTTTTCAAGAGAATCATACTGCTGTCATCTTGTTTAGTCATTTCATAGACAGACTTTGAAGGAGGGGGATATTATTCATGAGTTCAGGCAGAGAAAAATGTGTAAAATTATAGGAATATGTCAGAACTTTCTCAGAAGTAGGTTTACCTTCCTTTTTTGTCTTTAGATATAGTTTATTGGGTGTGCCATGGTGTCATATGCATAGTGGGAACAGGTAGTTTTGCAAGCCTAAAGATATCGAAATGCCATTATAACGAAGGAGCACAAAGTCAGTAGTACTGTGGTCTTCCATAGTACATGTCGATCCCAGCAGTCTAGGGTGGCTTTGTGGTAACAGCTCTGAAATCTCACTTCCACCACTGCAAAGCTTGTCCTTTGGCCCTGTGTCTTATCTAGTCTGTCTCTCTGTCAACAAAACCCTAGGTGCACTGAAGAAGCCATACTAACAGTCTGTTCACCATAAAGCCTCCCAGACTGTTCAAGCTGCCTGAATCTCATCTGCAGAGAGTGTGCTTTATGGGGATAGAATTATGAGTGCTTATCTAATCATTGTTATTATTGTAATAACATTTTGTGATTGTATTTTGTAATTGTCATAATAATAATTATTTCAACTGTACAGTCACAAAAGATACTTCTCCCGTGAAGATGTAGAAGGTGACACACAGGAAGCCCTGTCCTCGGTGCACATATTCTAATAGATGCATCTAAAAAGGCCGGTTAAGAGTATTCTGTCTGAGAGAGGAACAGAATGCTGTGTGGACATAGAAGACAGACAGAGGTTAATTCTCACACTGTGGATTGTTTGAAGATGTCTCTGAGGTGCACTGAAATTGGAACAAGGAGGAAATGGTGACACTGTTGTTAAATAAGGGATGCCAGAGGTGGATCTGATTGGTTCAGGCTGCTGTACACTGGGTTGAGAGCACGCCATTCACATGGCCATGTTGCTAACCAACCAAGGACAGAACTCAGCAGAGAGTCCCAGGCCTGAAGATCAGGGAGTGAACAAGACAAAAGCCAAATGCTTGTGGCTGAACATACAGAGGATGTAACAGCAGCCACTCTCTTTCCCTGGATTCTAAGGATGCTGGAAGACTTGTGCATACTCTTTAGTTTACATCACACCTCCGCAGTGTTTGCTGACAGGCAGCAGTCTTTCTACGTTGCCTATGTTACCTGCTCTCCTGAAGCCTAGGTCTCCTTGCACATTCAGATCCTGTCTCTGAGTCTTTGCTCTTGGTGTTCAGTGCTCTCCCACGTGGGCCCTCCAGGTCAACAGCAAACACTTGGAGACTTCTGACAATGCCTTCTCTCCACAAAGCCTACTTTGACTCCTCCTGCTCCCTGCAGTGAATGGATTTGTTTTTTTTTTTCTTTCTCAGCTGGACACAGTGAGAACGCATTATAAGACAACTAGGAGAGATCTGGCTCTCCTTCACTCTGCTGGACATTTCTGAAGTGTGAAGCCTGTGTAATCTCTTGTCTTTCTTTCTAGTACATTCACAATAAATATTGCTGAATTTTTGAATGGACAACTGAAAGAATGCATGCATGCATGCATGCATTATGGCACCGTTGAAATCAACGAAACTTATAGGTCAAGCTGTGATCTAAATAGGGGTTTACAAGATAGGAATCGGCACCTTCGCTCATTACACCCAAGGAAACGATCTCTCCAGGTGGCGAGCCGTAGTACCAGTACTTGAGGGTGGTGGCTATGCTGTGTGCAGCCAAAATGCCTCCAAATTGCTTTCCAGTGTTGCTTAAGTTTTGAAGTGTCTGCACAAATTCTTTTGTTATCCACTCTCTGCATGAAAAGAAACAAACAGTTTCACAATAGAGAGAGGGATGGAAAGGAGGTCCTCTGAGTCCTAAAACTCAACACAGGGAGCTTTATCCACCACCTACACAGTAATGAGACCCAAAGGTTATAGTCACAATTTTTTTCATTACAAACAATAAATTATATTTAGATGTTTTCTTGGGACCAGTCATAGCTTTCATCTAAAATTAAATATGTTCATTAAACAGTGAATGGTTCACACTGAGATTTGGGACAATATGTTTAATGGTCTGGAGTATAAATTCAAGGAAGAGCTCAGCTGGATGAGAGAGAATGCCTCAGATCCCTGCAACCTTGCCCTTCTGCAAGCAGAACGTTTGAGTATGGCTTCAGGAGACAGTCCCAGCACAGACTGCGCCTAGGCATGGATAGCATTCCCGTGGTCTGGAGAGGGGGAGGAAATAAAAGACAAAGGGGGAAAAAGCTACATCTTGGGACCTGGGACAGGGATGTAAAAGTGCTTCTGAGGGGCTCTGCCTGGCTCCTCTTTCTGGCACATCATAATGCCAGTGTTTACCTGGATGAATCTGTTTTCCTTTTTACTCTATATGGAACAGGTCACGCCACCATTTTCGTTCTATTATTGGAGAAGGTGGGGCTCAAATTTGATGTAACTTCACTAAAGCCACACAACTAATAAATGATGGTGACAGAATTTCAACCTGCAGGCTTCTTGCTCCTTTTCAGCCCTGCCTCTCTTGGGACTCTGACCTGGTGTGCTTATCACCTTACCTTCTCTTCCTACGAATGCTTCAACTCCCTTTCTCCTTGGCTATGTACCTGTCTTTACATTAGCATTTGCTTTATGTACACTTGCTTTAGAGATAATGATAACTGTTAGTAATCTGTTAAACTCCACCTCCACAGTTACCTGGCAGTGGCCAGGTATGCTCCTCCCCACAGTTACCTGGCAACAGGCAGGTAGCCCTGGCCACTATAAAAGGGGCTGCTTGCCCCCTCCTCTCTCTCTTGCCCTGCAGGTTGTCCTCTCCCCTCCCCCCATCTCTCCACGTGGTCATGGCTGGCCTCCACTCCTCTACCTCTCCGCTCTCCCTCCTATCTCCTGAATAAACCTCCCCTCGTGGAACCGTCTAGTCTGCTGTGATCTGTCCAAGCTGCGTGCCATGAAATCCTTTCATTTGGTGCCGAAACCCGGGAATACGAAGACTTCGGGGACTTCAGGCTGCTGTGACCAGACAGGACGGACACAACACGAGGTAACTGCCCACATAAGGACCCAAGAAAGATTTCTTGAGCTAGAGTGAACCCTATCCTTCCCTGAACATCTCTAGGACAGCTCCCCTTGGATGGGACACTTCCCCTCTCCTCTCAAGACAATTTCTCACCGCTGAGTACCCCAGGCCAGGCCTGGACAGACTGGTCTCTCTGCCTCAGGAGCACCGGCTCTGACCATACTCCACAGTGTGTCTCTTCCATGGGTGAGCCTTTCTTTACTGTTTTCTCTCAGGAGCACCAGCTTCGACCATAGTCCCCAGGTGTCTCTTTCAAGGGCCAGTCTTTCTCGACCTTCCCCCCTTCATCTCCTTCGTCATTTGTGGCCGCCTGGACACACTCAGTTCCGTCGGTTTGCCTGGAAAGCTAGCGGGTCTACGGCCCAGCTAGCTCCCCTCGCCTCCTCTGCGACCGGTCCCGCCGGTTCACCTGGTCCCTCCCCTCTGTGGTTCTTAGCTCTGCTCTGGGTCTTCCCCTTACATCCTGCCGCCTGGGACCTGTAAAGTGAGTGTTAGTGCCTTCCGCCACTTGCCAGGACATGCTTACTTTTCCTCACTACAGCCGCGGGAGTCAGCAGGAAGTCCCTCCCTGCTGCCGCCAGCAGACCCACCTGCTGCAACTGTGGCTCATAGTCCAACCTGCCAGCCATACAATCCAGCTTAGCCAAATTGTTTCTGTGCTAGTACAAAAATGTGCTTTTCTCTTCCTATGCAGCCTGCTAAAGTTACTTAAGACTGTTTCCTAACCTGTCTGGATAGATTTTTATTCAGTTACAACCAATCCTTATGGCTCTCAATCTTGTCAGAAGTCTGCTAACAGTATATTTTAAGTTTATGGCCGACAGAATGCCCAAAGCCTGTAACAGTTACCCAAGATGGTTTCAGAAGACACGGACACTGGACTCCCAGAACATACAGCCTGGATTGTATACAAACAAATGCAGAGGGCTAGACTGGATGCTCTGAGTCAAATGACTTAGCTAAGTCAAACCAAGGTAAGTCATTTCTCATGTCATGTGTATCCATTCCACAGAAAAAAGCCCAGTGTTTTCTGCGATTGGAAACCAAACTGACTTCGCCCAAGAGAATATGGAAACCATGGGAACTGTTGGCTAGTGGACTCTGTCATTTTTTAAAAAATAATATATAACTGGTAGATTGTTGTTTACTCTTTATCAGACTTCTGACTACATTGACAGCTAAGCTTTCACAGATATTATCTGTTACCTCATTACCTAAACTCAGTTGAAAGACTGCTTGTGTTGTTAACTCATGCTGTTACCTCTTTTGTAAACTTATAAGCTACAGGAAACCCACTCAGATCTACCTCTCATGGACCAAATAGATGCCATCCAGATAAGTAAAAGTCCCACTCACTACCTATTACAAAGGGTGGGATCCCTCTGGGTTTCAAATGTACATCTTGGAAAAAAATATTTCTCCAAGTGTTCTTAATCTTATTCCCTACATCTTGTCAAGTCCAGGTGCATCCAGAACAACTCCAAAGAAGCAACTTCCAAATGTTCCATCTCCTGTCACACACACAGCTGCTTCTACTGGACCTGTTCCTTCTGGCCTATCCTCAGATGGCTTGCTCCATAGACCCTGGACAACAGAAAACAGCCAGCTCTCCTAAGACTGGACAAACATTTCCCATACTCATTCTTCTAGGTTCCCCCTAAAGACACGTCGCCCCCAATGTCAGCAGGAAGCAGCCAGATTTCACTACGACCCTATTCCTGCTTCGCCATCACCTCTTTCTAATTTTTCTTTTTAATTAAACCAAAACGTGGGAATGTTAGTAATCTGTTAAACTCCACCTCCACAGTTACCTGGCAACAGGCAGGTAGCCCTGCCCACTATAAAAAGGGGCTGCTTTCCTCCTCCTCTTTCTCTTGCTCCATTAACCCCGCACCTGCAGGTTGTCCTCTCCCCTCCCCCTTCCCTTCCCCCTCTCTCCACGTGGTCATGGCTGGCCTTCACTCCTCTACCTCTCTGCTCTCCCTCCTATCTCCTGAATAAACCTCCCCTCGTGGAACCATCTAATCTGCTGTGATCTGTTACAAGCTGCTTGTGAAAACTTTTCAGTAACAATATACAAAGTACTTTCAGTATAGCCTGAATTATAAAAATCCCTAATTTTAAAACAAATCACTTTGGGGTGGGGACCAACAAGCTATTATTCATGGATCCTTTTTTCTGACTCTTCGATAGAAAGCACAGAAAAATGTTTATATAAGCAATGTACATTATTTTTATGCAAAATTTACAAAATATTTCAATGGTACTTGCCAAGGACCAGCCCTGGCATGGAGAGGGGTTGCGAGAGAAGGGGTGTATGGGAACAGTGAAAAGAAGGACTTGAAGTCAAATCATGGGTCCAAGCTGGTGGCCTAGGTTCTGCTGAGATGGCTTATAGCCTGCCCTCCCTCTCTCTCTCTCTCTCTCTCTCTCTCTCTCTCTCTGTGTGTGTGTGTGTGTGTGTTCTGCTCTGCTCTGCTCTAGACACCTTTTTCTTACTATTTTAAAAACTCTTTGGTTGAGTTGACAGCTCTCTACTAGTGAAAATTCTAAAAGCTTTCTGGATAGCTCATGGCTTTTCTGAACAACGTCAGAAAACCTGCTATAAAAAGATTACTGGATCTTCTAGCCAAGTCAGAGATCCTGTTAAGAAGATTCTTGAAGAGCTGGGTTGCTCTCCAGAGATCCCCAGATAGAGACAAAATTCTAAGGAACTTCTGTCATTTTTTGCTATCTCATCTCATCCAGCTTTCCTTTTGACTATCCTAAGAATCAGCATCCCATGGTCCCAGTCCCTTAATTCTTAGGAAACAGCAAGCAAACATTTTCTTTTAACATTGCAAAAGAATTCAGAGATCTGCCTGACTCTGTTGACCTAACTGGATGGGACCCTCCCCTGAAATTACCGTTTCTACCACACCTGGGCCTAATCTTGGTCTTTCCTAGGATCACCTTGAACTCAAGAATCTGCCTGCCTTTGTATCTTTCTGACAAGCTGGCACATAGTGTAGTTACCTTGTTCTGTTAGATTCATGAAGCCCCTTATAATTCATATTACATCTTTATATTTTGCACATTGAGAAATTATATATATATATTGAATTCATGTATTTAGAGCTCTTTTGCATAGCCTTAAGGTATGTCCTGAAGGTCCCAGGGTTTACCATTTTGCTAAAACATCTGCCACACCTTCACCTCCAGGACTCAAACTGTCTGATTATCATGGGGTCATTAACATTACAGAGAGGATGTTCCTAGGAGGAACTTGAATTTACATACATTATTACACAAATGAGCCTTATGTCCACAGCAGCTGTCAACTCTCAAAGAGGCTCACACAGGGGGCCCTGTCCCAGGGACAGGAACCAAGTCACTTTGTCCCCACCAGGGCCATGCTGGGCTTGGCAGGTGCTTACAACTATTATACATCTATTTCATTTACCTAATATTAGTATACTTCACTTAGAAAATATACCATACCTGTCAAAAATAGAGCTTAACACAGAGTGATAATATCCAGGAGGTCCTTTAACAGCACTCTCATAGTTGTAAACTTTTGCTTTTCTCAGATCAACATAGTTATTTCCAGTGATATTACCCCAAATTATCACATCTTTGATGCCTGTGCAGAACAGAATCAGAAATGATTGAAATAAAGTTCATTAATAGAAAATGTAATCAGATTCAATGCTTTGTCTGTGTATTTTTTTTAGAGTTGGACCAATGATGTCCAAGCTCTTTAACCTGTACAAAAGCTGGTGTTCACCTCGCTAATTATTGGGGCTTGGTAGTCATGGGGTGATGCCTTGTGAACGATATGCTGGATGGGTAAGTCAAGGAAAACTGAGAGAACTGCCTCAAAAGAAATTGTTAGTGAAAATTGTATCCTTTGTGCCTCTCTTAACTTCCTTTTATACACACACACACACACATACACACACACACAGAGTGCATGACCATGTGTGGATGAGTGTGCATGTGTAAGCTAGAAATGGCACTGGGAGTCTTCCTCCATCACTCGTCACTTTATCTTCTAAAAAAGGACCAGGACTGGCTGGCCAGTGAGGCCTGGAGAACTGCCTGTCTCCATCTCCAGTGTGCTATGTTTACGGATGCTTGTGGTCGCACCTGACATTTTACAAACTGAGATGTGTTTCCACAAACCCAACCCCAAGAGAAAACTTTTCAACAGTTTAGATTTTGACAAAGCATTTTGGATTCTGGACTGGAATAGAACTATGTATAAATGACAACTCTCAGGGCAGGTTTCATCACTTGTAAAACCATGGTGATGGCATTCTTCATGGGAGGTACCTTTAGAAACAAGGTTTAGGAGGAAACAAACCAGCCCTATGCCCTATAACATTCTAGGATGGGAGTGTCGGGGAGTGAGAAAACCACAGAGTCACATGGTGGTTGTATCTTTATGGAGAATAACAAAAGAACATGAGTTAGAGAAAATAAAGATTGGTGTTTAATGTGATTCTGCAATTCTTGGCTTTCCCGAAGTGTTTTACACAATTTAGAAAGAGTTTTATTTATTTACTCACATACCTACTAGTTTAGTTAGGGTTACTATTGCTATGATAGTACCACGACCGAAGCTATTGGGGTGGAAAGGTTTCATTGGGCTTACACTTCCAATAGCAGTCCATCACTGAAGGGGATCAGGGCAGGAACCTGGAGGCGGGAGCACCCTGGAGGGGTGCTGCTTACTGGCTTGCTACCTATAGACGGCTCAACCCATTTTCTTATAACACCCAGAAACACTAGCCCAGAGGTGGCACCACCCACAATAAGCTGGGTCCTCCTACATTAACTACTAACTAAGGAAATATCCTTGAGGCTTGCCTACAGACTGCTCTTATGGAAGCATTTTCTCAGATGAAGTACCCTCCTCTCAGATAACTTTAGCTTGTCTCAAGTTGGGAAAAAAACCCGCTATCCAGCACATCTATTTACTTAAAATCTGCATCCTGGAGATTAAATTCTTGTCTGTTCTCTCATAGCAAGATGGCTGTTAGACTAACCTAGATGCTAAAGCTGTATGTGGGAAGAAGTATTCTGAGAGTCTCTCTAAAGAGGTGGATAAGAGCACTGGCTATGACAGAGCCTCGCTGCTATCCTGTACTGCATTGGCTTAGACTATTGTCAGCTCACATTTGCTGTCTCCCCAACGTTTGTTTCAGAATGCCTGTACTTTTTCATGTTCATGGATGTTGTTGTAAGGACACAAAGGACCACCTCTAAAGATGCAAAGAGCTAATGCTAATGTGACCCAGTCTTCCTTTTGTATGATTCTGATATGTACCAATTGGAAGATCAACAACAAAAATGTAATTAGATATAATAAACTTAAAAGTTTAATCTCTTTCTAAGCTTTATCTTGCATCAGGCATCTCTTATGGGCACTGTAGAAATACTGTCTGTAGTGGTTGTAACGAGAATAGCCCTCATAGGCTCATATGTTTGATTTTTTTAGTACCCAGTTTGTGGAACTGTTTGGGAAGGATTAGGAAGTGTGGCCTTGGGGGTTGGAGGAGATGTTGAAGAAAGCCACTGAGAGTGGGCTTTGAAGTTTCAAAGGTGCCCTCACTTCCCTATCTGTGCCTCTTGCTTATAGATCAGACGTAAGCCCTCAGCTACTGCTCCAACAACACATTTGCCTCCTGCCATGCTCCCTGCCATGGTGGTCAGGGACTTACCCTCCAAAACTGTAGCAAGTCCCCATTTAAATCCTTACTTTTATAAGTTGTCTTGGTCATGGTTGTCTCTTCACAACAGTAGAAAAGTAACTACCACACTATCTCATTGGCTCCTCACGTCAGTTCTAGGAGGGAGTTGCTGTTGATGGTAAATGCGAGGCACAGCAATCTGTTCAGAGCCATATGAGTGGGAAAGGAGGCCAAGCCGCTTTAACATGGCCCTGGCGTTTTTTAAACAACATACACTACTTTCCGCATTATTATCTTGGGAAAATGGGATATTAGGTTTAAAATTATTACGACAAATGTTTACTAATTTTTTAATGATGGACAAAGTCATAAGAGTAGATTAAAAGAAGTGGGCACAGTTTTCCCCTTATCCACAGCTTCACGTTCTATCCCATAGCTCAATTAACCGTTGCACACTTTTTCATTTTAGGGAGGGTGCAGCGGCATTGGAGATGGAACCTAGGCTCTCATGCATGCTAGGCAAGAGTTCTACCATTGACCTACCACCCCAGACCTGGACTTTAAAATATGATGGGAAATTTTCAAAAAATAATCAGTGGGTAACTTGTAGATCATTTTCATGACTGTATGTTGCTATGCTTGGTTTCTTAGGTTATTACTACTTATTATTGCTAGTTTCTTGCTGCCCTGAGTTTATGAATTAAACTGGACCATGGTAGGTGTGTACAGGAAAAAACTGGGCAAGGAGGGTGGGGTAGTCTAAGTGGCATCCCTTGAATAAGGGAGGATCACACTGGGTCCATCCATCCTTCCTAATCTATTGTCACACATCCAGTGTGGTCCTGGAGGATGTAGCGTTCTCTTTCCACTATTCGAACCCATGTTTCAAAACACAAGACACCAATAGGCATTTACTCACTGGCTGAAGTTGTTTTCATCTTTCGGGCCAGTACTGCTTTTGCTTGGCCTTCTACCCCCAGAGCCACTGCAAGGATGTTGCTTGCGATGCTAGGGGCATATTGCATGAGCAAAGTTGTTTTCAGATTCACAAAGGTTTTCCCTCCCACGATGACCTTGACAGATTTGTGAGCATTTTTCTCTATCAGGTAACCATAGAGGCGGCACAGTGGCACCCTGCTTCGCAGGCAGCTCTCCAGGCTGTACACTTCCTCATCTGTAACGTCGTCCAGCATGATGATGACTTCAGCCTGCAGGAAGGCCTCCTTTACCGTAGTGCAGAAGGAGACAGTGCGGAGGACTGGCGAAGCCAAGTTCTGGGTTTCCATCATTATGCTTTTGAGGCAGTCCTCCCTTTGCTCCTGATCAAACAGGGTCAGGCTGATCTCTGTGTGCATCCCAAACACTTCCCCACTTAGCAAGAGGGGAATTAAGTGGCAGCACACATATGTACCTGCACTGTTTAAAGGCAAAAGTTGGATGGAAAATGGTTAGATTCCTTCCCAGTTAACCATTTTATTCTGCGTGTGCTCTACAAGATGGTTCACTGTTTTACATGAGCAGTCTCACACTTGCACAGCTGTGCCTAGGAATTCAAATCAGAACAGGGAAGTCTCACTACCCATTCCATCTCAGCATCTGACGATACCACCAAATAAAAATGTACTGGTGCATTATTAGATTTTTCAAGTAAAAGAGCTCTCCCACATGCAGAAAACAAAACAAAAAATATTAAGTAAACAAAAGCTCCTTATCACATTGTTCTACTTATGAACTTTCTCATGAAAAGACAAAGACATAAGTTTCAGTTAGCCATTGTCTTTTATACCTTCATCTACTAATGAATGCCTTTAGTTTTGGACAGATTACTTCTCTCACAGTTTTGCAAGGAAAAACCCTTACTGGGATGGCTAGGATAAGTAAAGGTGTGCTCTGTTTGAAACTGCATGTACCTCGATCTTCTATTTTAGTGATGATCAACTATGGGCATTAGAAAATGCATTTGTCAACTTATATTACTCTTGCTGGGTTTGGAAAGGGCATTGTGGTGATGCTCAAGTCAGTGCTTTATTATTGACAGGTTCATGGGTATGTGTGGTACAATCCTGAATCTTTTCAGTGTTTGTAGTATTCCATAGGTATATATATATTTCCTCAAAACAGGTATATGTTAGGATATACGCAAGCGGTGAAGAGGACAGTGTGAGGGAGATGGAGGGGATGGAAGCAAAGAGAGAAAGAACAGCAAAGAGAGAGGGTAGAGATGCAAGGAGAGACAGTGACAAGTGGGGACAAGGAGGAGGAGGAAGAGCACCCTTGAGAAGGAGAAAATGAGGAAACCAAAGGGATCTGGGTTGCAGACAGCTCTGAGTGCAGGAGTAAGAATAAAGGAAAGCCAACAGGTGAGGCGGGGGCGGGGAGGGAGAGAACAATGGTCAGAGAGGACAAACCCAGGAGCATTGCTTTAGATTGTATGTCAAAACATGTATGCATATAAATCACATGGGGATGAATGCTGGAGGCTAGACACACAGAAGTACTCATAACCATGTACAAGCCAGATGTGTGTATATATACACACACACACACATACACATACACACACATTTTTGAAACTGCTTAGATATTCTTCCATCATGAAATTAATCCAATTCCATTGTCCTTTCTAAAAATAAAAATTCAGGCTTATAAATCCTGGGGCTTGACTATCCCACCTGGCAATCCAGACCTGCAAGGGACTGATGAGGTCTTTCATGTTTTCCTTATCCAGCTCTTGTTCTGTATGTGTCTGCATGTTCTCTTTAGCGATGACCATCATCAGCTCTGTTGTCATGTTGGAAGTGACACCGTAGTAAAGCTAAACTCAGAAAAGAAAAACTCAATGTCAGAGATTATAATCATTATTAGATCTAAGCCAGAATAGAAAATGGACTAGGAAGATGGCAGCATGTTTTAGAAAACAAGAGTTTGAAACATAAAATAGTGTTAAGGGAATGGCATGTTTGGACACATAAGCAATGCAATCCCATACCTGGGCATGTTCCAGAAACTCATTGTATCCTCCCAAAAGCAAGCCCTTGCCTCCACGATCCAGCAGCTCTCTCCAGATAATGGGGGAGGTTCTGTGGTCCCACATATTCTTTTCACAAACATCTTCCAGCCATTCCTGTGGGAAAAAGCCTCCAATAAAGGTCATCTATTAAACCTACCCAAGAATTCTGTTTGATCTTGTAGGATTTAAACAACAAAGTAATGACTTTTAAAGGTTTTCATTTAAAAGTATATTCATGCATGGAACATTCATGTATCATCAAATGGTAAAAGTATAAACTAGAAAGTAGCAGTGAACCTAGTGTGATTGCTCATGATACATAATTGTAGCACTGTGGGGGCAGAGGGAGGTAGATCCTTGTGAGTTCCAGGCCAGCCAGGGCTACACAGTGAGACTCTGTTTTCATAAAAGAAATGAAAGAACAAAGAAAGAACGTGAGAGAAAGAGAGAAAGAGAATAATGACGAGATAAATAACAAATTAATAAATGACAAGGAATACTCTCTAGGTCCAACGACCAAATAAAGTGTAGGAACTTGCTTCTTTGCTGGAGTGTATGTGTTTAACACAAGGAGAAGTCATATCTTCTAAGTTAGCTGATTTTAAAGAAAAACACCAATTTTTTATTATATATGAGTTGTTTCTAGTTTTACGGCCACATAAATTTTGATACTGCTTTTCAAATCTATGATTATGGTTTCTATGACTTAGACTTAATTGATGAGCTAAAAATTATCCATCTGATAGTCTCATCATACTTATCAGAAAAAGTTTATGTTACCCTCACCTGGTTTGGGTAGACCAAGATTTCCAATAATAAGATCTAAGTCTTGGTGAGGGACAGCTTTGTTATTAGCTATGTACAGTTAGGGAGTCCTAGAGTCATACCACTGGAGGCATGTATACTAAGGCCATCTCACAAGTAAACTCTATTTCTTGCTGGTACTGAAAAAGTCCATATTTTTATTCCATCCCAAAGCAAAAAAGACTGAGATTTCCAACATGAGCCCTCTAATCACTGCATAGTTTGGCTGGAGGAAGAACATGATCTACCCTAAAGGTCTATAACAAGGAGAATAGGCTAATGGTCTATCAGCAGCTGGGAGAATATGCATAGGACTGAATTCTCAGAGTCCTGAACCAGGAGTGGAACATATAGATGGACAGGGAAACTTCATCAGTGTGAAACATTCTTCTGCAATTTGGTAGGGCATACTGTGATAGGGACCCTATAATACAGTGGTATTGTATTACTAGACGGATAGTCAGAAGTTTGGAGAAAGTGATGAGTCAGATAACATGAAAATAACAAATCTGACAAGGAAGACAGTGGAAAAATGGGTCAAAAGGGCAGTGGAGGGCTGGTGAGATGACTCAGTGGGTTAAAGTGATTGCCAGCAAGCCTGACAAACTGAGCTCCATTTCTGGGACCCTCATAGTTGAAGCAAAGAATTGACTTATACAAGATATTCTCTGACCTCCACACATGTCTTAACACATGCAGACCCCATCCACCACAAAGCAAGCAAGCAACTAACTAACTAACTAACTAACTAACTAACTACCTTAGTAAGTAAACACACACACACACACACACACAGAGAGAGAGAGAGAGAGAGAGAGAGAGAGAGAGAGAGAGAAATTTAAAAAGGCTAGTGGCATTGAACTGATAATGGGGTTCCCAATGGAGGAGTTAGAGTGAAGGCCATTGGAGCTGAAAGGGTTTGTGGCCCCATGAGGACAGCAACAATACCAACCAACCACAGCTCCCAGGGTCTAAACCACCAGCCGGGGAGCACTTAGGGAGGGATCCAGGGCTTCAGCTGAATAAGTAAGAGTGGAGGGCCCTGCTGGGCATAGGTGGAAGAAGAGATCCTTGACTTCGTGAAGGCTGGACGCCCCAGGAGGTGGGAATTTTGAGGGTGGGGAGGTGGGAGTGGGGGGGTAGGCAGGGGTTACATCCGCAGAGAAGAAGGAGGAGGGGTGAGGGGATAGGGGGTTCCTGGGTGGGTGGGGGATGGAGTAAGGGGACAACATATGAAATGTAAATAAAACATCCAATAAAAAAAAGAAAAAAGAATAATATAAAAAAATAAAAAGGCTAGAGGGCATAGCACTATGGAATCTGGATAAATTGCCACTCAACCACATTTTTCTCAAGAGGCCTGAGGTATACTTTATTCAGCAAGGTTACAAGAAATGGAGAAAGGGAGAAAGAACCATGGGTGGAATCAACTTGACTATTAAGATACTCAAGTGCAAAGGATGGGGGAAATGCCCATCAGAGAACATCTGTTTTAGAGTAATACTAACCGACCCCACAGATAGGATAACCTGGGAAGCCATAGGCAAATAGCCTCACAAGAGACAGAGTTAGGAGACAATTCAAGAGAATGGGCCTCTAGTCCTAAAGGCAGAGATAGTTCTGCTGAATGGTCAGTATATCAGCAATGAAAACCAGTGCTAGCAACCAGTGCTAGCACTTTATAATGGCACCATCCTTTGAGGACATCAACTTGCCTCTCTGGAAACCTGATGACACACTGCATTCACTCCACAATGTAAAGGAAAATGATTTGTCTAGATTAAATTCAACATGTGCTGGGTAGAGAATGGCCTTTTCTGGTTATACTGCTTTCACCAGAAGTCCTACCTACACACTTACAAAACGTTTAACCTGACCATTTAGGCCTTGCACATATCTTTGAACCAAGTGGATCACTTTCTAGGAAAGAGATACAGTACTGAGCATGTCAATAGGGGATATATTGCCCTTATCACATAACACCAAGCTTGATAAAGGAGCAGGGCAGGCCAGCAAAGCTGCAGACACGGGGTGGAAGACTGACATATGGAAGGAAAGGTCTGGCTCTTTCAAGTTGTAAACTGTGTTACATATCAGTGCAGTGTTTTCTTCTATTAGATATACTCCTTAGTATTCAGGAATCAAGGGGCATAATTAAGGGAGGCCCTGTTCCCCATCATTCCTAGGAGCCCTCTTGGTGCATTTATGGTTTCCCAGATTTCTCTTCTCTAGCCTATGTGAGTTGGGAGGCTTTAAATTTCTAGAGAGGGACAGTTCTTCTAGTAGAGGACATAAGAGGAGTCTCACCATTCAGCTACAGCTGACACTGATCACGGTGAGATAAGAGAGCAGCAGGCAATGAAAGAAGCTGTTTCTGGGGACAGGGTAACTGGGTGTGCTCATCAGGAATCTGTACAACAGCTACTACCCAGAGTAAAAAATATTTATCATCTAGGGTATCACTTGGGCACCATCTGTGATTCTCTGGCTCAATTTTGAACATACAAGGGAAAGTGTAATAGTCTTTAAAAAGAACTGAGGCTCACATCCCTTAAGCACACAGAACTAGGACATCACACCTAACAAGTGGCCTAGAGCAGTAGAGGGAGGCCTGCAATGGATGGTAGCGAGGAGAGATGAGTGCCAGCTTGGGCACTGTGTGCAATGGGGAATATGGTTCATTAGCAAACCTTCCTCTAATAGAGTTTTCCCAGGGAAAGATCTTGATATGAATCCCAGAAGAGCTCTTACCAGATGGTGTGAATTTCCTTAATGGAGCACACGGATCCAGAGGCACAGTAGGTGGACTGGAGCCGATACTCATGAATAGCCCAGGTCCCTTCCCTCTTACAAGCAAGGCACTTGTGCCCTCAGTCACCAGGGTTAGTAGAGAAGCCAATGGATTAACTGCTGAGTCTCTCTCTAGGACTGACCTCAGCTAAAGGGAATCCTCTTGACTAAGATTAAGCCCCCTTCTTTGGGCCAGCCTACATCAGGTGACCGGTTGATGCAGGAATACAAACATTCAGTTACTTTTCTTCAGTGTGGAATCCCTTTGAAAGGATCCCCAACGTGCTTTGCCTGTATTATCTCCAGACTCCTCTCTGATGCAACTGTATTGTAGCTTGACTCCCATGGACCTCCAACTAACACTGCTGCCTTCACCTTCATTCCTTCTCAGGATGTTCAGAGAGCACTTTCTAGTAAGATCTCACCCTAGAAGTCGTGAAGTACAAACTACCTGCTTTCTTGGTAGGCTTGGGTGTGGAATCAGCACATTTATTCCACTTATTGAAGGCTCCTTTGTGCTCTTGAGTATTAGCAAAAACTATGTCTTATAGACAAGGAAGGACTCATTTTTGCCAGTATTTAAATATTATTAATATGTGACCAGTCATCTTCAGAAGCTGTCATGATGTACTAGTAAGTATTTCACCAAAGTAGAACTTTATCTTGTGTAAATGCATTTAACAACTCTAACAGTCCTTACCTCCCACACATCAGGATGTTGTGTGATCTTAAAAATCCGAAAGTCAGGAAGATTCTTTTGTAAATAGTCTGCCAGAAGCTCTGCCTTAGCATAGTATGGGCAGTTTGCTTTACCTAGGAGAGTTCAAATTAGCTGTGCTTTGTTTTCAACACACAAATTTCATGAGGTTATGAAGGTCTTATCATTATAACCATACACTTAGAGGATGTACCATGGCTATAATTTTATAATAAAATTATAGAATAAACTTATTTAACACAAACATCTAATGTTTGTTATATTAATAAAAAGTAAGATATATTTTATAGATCAGAACTTACACAATAACATTTTGTGGAAAAAAGGAGAATGTTTTAAATATTGACTTTCCGCTAGTACTGTGCTGGACCACGTAAGAGGTTATAGCATACTATTTAAGCATGAGATACTAACAGTGAGCTACTCATTAGCATCTGCTCAAGGGCCCACTGAGATAGCTCAACTGATAAAGGGACTTGCCAACAATCCTGAAGACCTGAGTTTCATCTCCAGGATATACACTCCTATTAGATTATCCTTTAACCTCTGCACTCCCCCGTGTAAAAACAAATAAATTAATGTTAAAAGGAATAGCATTCAAAGGTAAAGTGTGAAGTAAAGGGTAGAAATATAGTCCTTTTTAGATTTGACTTGTCCAGAATTGTGAGGAAGATGAGGAAGAAAGAAGAATCCGAGGCCAACTTCTATTTTTGGACTGACCTAATTGGTGAGAAATTATGGGTGAGAAATTCAGACAAACACATTAATAGGAACACACAGAGCATGTAGAAAGATGTGATTGGCAGGGCGTCTGATGTCCAATCTGATGTGCAGGTGGCTATAGAGAATGTTAGATGCACATTTTTTTGCAGTGAGGACCACACAGGAAGTTAATCCCCCTCCCTCAGAAGTGCGATGGGTGTCAGTTTAGGAGGACAGGCTAAGTGCAGTACTTGCTGTGGAACATTCATCCTCTGCTTCACAGAGGCCTCAGAAGCATCTCTATCTAGTTCAAATCCGCCGTTAATTACTTCAGAGTCACTCTATGGCTCACGTTTAATGATCCTGTCCATTTTATTGGGAAAAAGCTTGTAAAAGCCCTTCACCCGAGATGATCTCAATTACCTGCCTTTTCTGGATCCGAGCTCCTTCTGCCCAGGCACCAATGAGATGATGGTGAGGTAGAATAAAGAACAGAGACGTTTCCAAAGGAAGAGGATACCAGTTATGCTCTGAAGCCCACACCTCCCGTCTTCTGGGAAACATTGCTGAGCAAACTTTCCCTGCCCCATTAGACTCTTACTTCTGTTTCTAGAGCCTCCTTTCGAGCATATTTAGATGCATTTCACGTAAACTTCAGATTCTCCTTCCTAACAAACAAAATGTCTATGTTTCTTTTTCTCCCCAGCTATTGCTTTCTAGATATTCCTTTCTGTTAAAACTTCTTTTAAACATCTCATATCCTTGCCATCCATGGTTCTTACATTTATTCACTTATTATTTCACTATAATCTAGCATTCCACCCAATTTCCCAGAAGGTGATTAGGGACCACTAGGTCCTTAATCAACGAGTGATTTTTTTTTTTAATCCTCTCTTCTTTCTCCCTGGTAGCTTTTATCATGGTTGCCCACTTCCATTTCCAGTAGAGTAAATCCTGGATGCATCTCTATGGTGGAATACTCTGCAGGTTTCCCTTCTACATCTCTGGCTAGTATTTTCTGCACTTTGTAAGTTTCTGTTCCCTCATCAATCCATTAAATTGTACTGTCCTGCAAGGCACATAATTTCATACCTTATCTGTGTATTTTTCTTGCCAAGCTACTTGGATTCAAGGAGCAGTCTGTGTTCCTAGCTCAGGTATTATATCATAGCCAGATGCCTACACTTTCCTGTATTCTGCCATCTCCTTCTGAATGTATCATGGGCACTCAGCAGGATAAGCTGGATTCTATTCTGAAATGACTAAGGTAATCCCATCTTGTTCCACTCCACTTTGGGTATGCTTAAATGATTCTTCCTTTCCCCACAATGGTTATGTCTCTCTTGGTAACCTATTTGAGATTTCCATGGCTTTGACCATGGTCCAGATGTTTTAACCGAAATAATTAAACTAAAATGACTAAAGAAGACATAAGTTAAAAATATTTGTCATGTTATGTCTGAAGTAATTAATAATTGCTCTGCCAGCAATGAATGTTTCAAGGATATGCTGTTCCTCATCTAACTTTGATGTAAGTCACACTCTTTGTGTTTTTTTTTTTGTTTTTTTTTTTTTTGCCTTTAACAACACCTTACCCCTGCTCTTGGGCACCAAGAGACTTTTGGAGGTACAAACTCATTCTTGGTCTAGCCATTAATAAAAATACTAAAATCTTTAAGCAGCCTAATCATTGTAGTTGTCAATAACTTGTAGTTCCTTTTTATTTTAAGTCTTCTACCAAAAAATATAGGAGATTCTTGCATCTCCTATAGTAGCTGTGTTTATCTCCTTATTTAAGAATATTGAGATTAGACAGGTATAGTGGTACATATCTTTAATTCTAGCACTCTGTAGGAAGAAACAGGTAGATATCTGTGAATCTGTGTCCAGCCTGGTCTACATAGCCAAGTTCAAATCAGCGAGGGGACATAGTGAGACTTTGTCTCAAAAAGAGAGAGAAAATGCTGTGAGTATGTAGATTATTAAACATATTCTTCTGATAAAAGTTCTTCAAAGGAGTCCCAGTCTACCCAGTTACCCATAGCTTAGGAGTGTAACTTCTCCTTTACTTCTCATAGTCATTCAGTGAATTAGACATCTTCTACAACGTATTTTGTCTCTCAGATCATTCCTCAGTCTATTTGCTGTTCTCCATCCATATTCTCCACAATACAGCTGTTTCTGCATTACATAGCTCCAGCCTTCTACCTGGTCTCTTCTTGTATCCATAACACTCAGGGAAGATACAACTTTCACGGCCTTATCCCTTTATAGATAACCTTCTAGGTACTTTTGCTAAAGTCAAAACTATTGATTATGTCTCAGAAGAAACTGAACACATCTCATTTGTCCTCACCCAGGATGCTCTCTTCCTCGAATCCTTTCTTCCAGTCCAACTAAACTCATTTCAACCGTGTGCTTACCAACTACGCTCAATTATCATCAAGTCTGACCGATATCTCTAGCAAGATCTAGATACTGGAACCGTGGCTTCATGCTTCCCTGGTAACTGCATCATCATAGGCAGCTCAGGCTCTTTCAGAAGAGCCAGGGGTTCAAAGTTACTACGTGAGTGCTTTGCATTTCTGTTCACAACTATATATGGTCCTTATAAGCACACTCGAGCTCTACTCCCCATTATTCACGGATAAATTATTCTGCTTCTTCCTGAGTCTTCTCTGCTTGGTAACTCTGGTTGTTCAGGTATCTGTTTATCCACTTCTCCCTCTGGGAAACCCTTGCCTAGGTAGACACTCTACTACTGTTCCCTCTAGAACACTGTCCTGCAATAACAAAGTGCCTTTTAAAAATGCAGACTCACTGACACTTTGACATTATTTTTACCTAAATTCATTAATTGTGTTCAAGATTTAGTTTAATTTTTGTTGTTGTTTAAACTAAATGCCTAGTTTATATTTTGTAATTCTAACCCTAGGCCCTGCCATACTCCCACATCAAGGTCCTTCATTAGACCACAACTCTTCTAGTCTTTGCCTTTATCTGGAGGTGGTTCCTTTAACAAACAGCCTCTCTAGTTAGTTCCTTCTCCCCATCCATCCCTTATGTTCCCCATCCTGCCAACCCCGCAGAGGCCTGTGCAGTCGTCCGTCATTAATCACAGCAGATCAAAGTAATTCCTTATATGTTTTGTACACCCATGGGAATTAAAATTCGCCAAGGGCAGAGGTGAGAATTTTCCCCACTGCTCATCAGACCTTGGCACGTCGCCACTATCAAGCGTCTTTGACTGAATGTCTAGAAAGCCTGAGGTGATCCGTCTAAAGGATGGGGCTGCAGAACAGAAGCCAGTTAGCAAGGCTGACGAAAAGCCATGGGAAACGATCTGTGTGGGCTTACTGGAGAAGCACTCACCCGCGATCACAAATTTGGCCATGATTTCTAGCAAGAACTAGAAACTGGAACCACGGTGTCACGGTTTCCCGGCAATCGTGGCGCGTACTAAAACTGGCGCAGGCGCTCTCAAAAGAGGCTGCCCCGCCAGAAGGCTAGAAGTTCAAAGTCATTACTTGAACTGAGTTTCCGTAAACAACAACACATAAACTTTATAAGCTCCGTGGTTTCCTACAGCTCTAGATTCTATCTCTTCATTCAAGAATAGAAACTATTCTTTTTGGCAGGTTTTCCTCTCCATCGACAAAAGGCCTTCCACGGCCGCCACAAACTTATGCTTTTTGACTTATAAAAGACTCCGTAGAACGTCATCAGACGCGCCGCTTAAAGGCGGAACTGTCGTGGCTGCGCCTGTGTGTAGTCACGGGGTTCTGTTCTAAGGTGAGAGGATGGCAAGCATAAACGGAATCGTTGGCGGTATCGTACTAATCTTTTTACCTAGGGGGGAAAAGTTTGAGAAGTGGCCTCGGTCTTAAGTTTAGGGCGATGCGTTGATGCTGGGCGGCCCATTTGCGGAAGGACGCTGGCTCCGGTTTTCGGGATCTTGATACACGTGGCTGATTGTGGATTTTCAAGCAGAAAGGGCATCGCTTTTCTCTTTTAATTCCGTCCCTAACCAAGTCCTACCTGTCCGAGTACGTTTTCTTAACAGTTTGCTTTTGGCCATGGCAAGATCATCTAGTTGAAGTGTCCACCAATGATACAGTTTTCAATGAAGGCCTCCGAAGTAGTAACAAAGTTCTCCTTAGCTGAGGAAGGTTTATCTAACACCTACACGAGAAATTCGTTGTCTATCTGTCTGTCTGTCTATCTATCTATCTATCTATCTATCTATCTATCTATCTATCTCTGTCTACCTACCTATCTATGCTAATTTATCCACATTTGTTTATTGATTGATTGATTGATTGATTGATTGAAACTACTTTATCCACAAATGTGATTGACCTGGGTACTTTACAACTATGAAATAAAAGTGGATGAAGCATACTGTTTTTACCATTTTAATGTAAAGCTCTAGCGGCTCATCTGTGTCCATGCAAGCCCTTGTTAGATGCATTTTCCTTATTTAAGCAACAGTTAATAACTACCATTTCTTTTATTTACCTATCCTCTACAGGACAGTCTACAGCATATGCTCTTTTTTAGAAAGAAGTTAACTTGTGTTGCATCTTGGATATTTGAAAGTGTGTCAGTAGATAGCAAAATGAATAAAAAAGCACATTCCTTGTTATGGAACATCAGACAATTCAGTACTTTACTCCCAAGAAGCAGTGCTTTGAGGATATATCCTTTGAGATTTTGCAGACCAGAAGTTATTCATTCAAAGTGGAACCCAAGAAACCATCTTCTAAATGTTTTTGATGAGGGACTGCAACCACCTGTTAGATACCTCTTTCAGGATATATTTATTTCAAAATCAGTAGATGGTTGTACTCAAACTAAAGGCATAAGCCATGCAGCTGTTTTTAAACTTGACAGAATACTTTGTCCTAGAAGACTGTCCTTTGATGCAAAACATTCTTTTGTCTCTGACGGGACATCTGATCATGATTTAATGAAAATAAACCTTCATCATACCTCCAGTGAAGATGTGATCACCAAGAAAATGAGACCAACCCCTGTGAATTGTAAAAAGCTGGCCCAGGAGTGTAACTCTCTGAGCGATGTGCTAGACACATTTTCAAAAGCACCTACATTTCCTGGTAGTAACTATTTCTTAGCAATGTGGATAATTGCCAAAAGGATATCTGAAGACAAGAGGCACTTTGAGAGAAAACTGATGTTCACTCACCCTGCTTTTAACCAACTGTGTGAGCAGGTGTTGAGAGAAGCCAAGATTTTGCACTATGACCACCTTCTGTTGAGTCTTAATGCTATTGTGAAGCTTGGAATCCCTCAGAGTACTCTTATGGTACAGACTTTGCTGAGGACGATTCAGGTAAGTCAGGAAGGGGACTTAAATGTGACTTTACAGTGTCTAACATATTTTGAAGGAGCTCAGGGGATGTTGGTGTGTATATTTTCCTTAAAAGACTATCAGCAGTATAAATGGTTTAACATGCATTTCTGTATTGTGTATTATATGAGATGTATGTATTATATGTATGCATTATAGGAGATCTTACATTAGATCATTTCCTTTGCTTTGGAAATTTGTGAAAGCCTACCCTGTTTACCTTTTCTCAGGTTAAGGGGAAATGAAGAGAGCTGCAGAGAAAGGTTAGGTAGTTGAAGGGAAAGTGGATGGGAGGTGAACTAGCATTTTTTTTTATATAACCTTAATCCCATTAATAGGATTAAGACTAGGAAACAGACTTAATGATACCAGCTACATGGTTAAGAGCTAGTGGATTCCTTTATTCACAGACTAAATATATATTGGGTGTCAGCTATGCACGAGGTACCACATTTATCATCTGGTATAAAAGATAGAACATATATTTTCTTATAATCATGACCCTTAGAGTCTAAACTGAAAGATGTCTTTGGAGGCAGTTGCAGGAGTGGTGCCCAGTATTCCATTAATGACTCATGCTATGTTGTGGACACTGTGCTGAACTCTCAAGAGTGCAGTTATCAAAATACACATAGAGCTCTCAGTGCAATGAGGAAGAATGTAGAGTCTTATGAGAGTGTGTAATGGGATGTCCAACCTAGTTTTGGTCTTCAAAACATGGAGATAAGATGGCGAGAAGGATACTAAAGTCAGCGTCTAAGAAGCAGCTAGCATTTTGTGAGGATTAATTATGAAGGGGTTGGTATCTGCAGCAGACATTACATGGCAAACATCCAATTGAAAAGTGTGGCTCGTTCAGGGAGCTGAAATAGGTTGGTGCATCTGAGGTAAAGAATGCTGGTGAGGGGTGTGTGTGTGTGTGTGTGTGTGTGTGTGTGTGTGTATGGTAGAGTTGGGTTGGGTAAGAAAGTAGTTGTGTATGTACTGAGGGGCAAAGATTTGAGGCTGAAAAAGATAGTAGCAAAATCATAAAAACTAATTTTTATGCCCAGTGGAGTTTGTATTTGCTCAGTAGTCACAATAGTCTATTGAAGAATTTTAAGACAGAGATTGACATACTCAAGTGTGCATTTTCAGTTTCAAACAAAGGTATCAGAATCTTACTTGATGTCACTTATATGGCATGTGAAGAATTAATCATTTACTTTATTTAGATTGGCCATGTGACTCTTAAACTCAAAAATTAAGTATTTTAAAATGCATTAATTTCCTGGAGATAATCTGTGACACTTTGTTTCTCTAGAATTCATGAATTGAGTTATAAGTATATTACTTTTTAATTTTTATGTAAACTTGATTCATATGTCCTTAAGCAAGAACTTTTAAATTTTGTGGTTTTGTAAGCCATAGAATAGCTGTTTGTTTGGTAGGCACAATATTCTTTTCTAATGTGGCAATTTAGAAATTGTTTGGATCTACTTTCTACTGACAGTGATGCAGTTTTGTATTAGACTTTGGACAGGCATTCACATCTGGGTAGCATCCTCACTGGGAACATAGTTGAAGTTAGAAAATCTGCATGTGGTTGTGCTTCAATAATATGTGTAGTATCGCAAAGACATTTAGCCAGAGGTCAAAGAACAGTGTGCTGTCAGTGTATTTGAGTCAAGTAGCCTGACCTTTCACAGCAGATGTTATGGGGTATATATGTTATGGGGTGTGTGTGTGTGTATACATATATATATATATATATATATATATATATATATATATATATATATATGGATATAAATGGATATATGCATACACACACACACACGCACACACAGAAATTCTCATGGGAATGATACTATTCCCCCAGTCCCTTAAAACATTATGTCATTTAGTTTTGACTCAAAGCTTTATACGTAGTGGTTAAGTTATGCTACTTTACTTTAGCCAAGAGCAAAAGGCTTCTTCACATATTGTCTTATTCTTAAGTGATGGGTTGTGGTTGAATTGTAGAGTACTAGAGAAGCTGTATTATTACTGTTCTCTTTCCAGAATGCCACTGCCATTTCTGGAATAAATTAGTGCCCTAACTGAGACCCAGATAGTGGTAGGTAATAAAATGCAGTGGGCCGTGTGAATAAGAAGATCCACAGGGCAGTTGTAGCATGATGCTCAGGAAAGGCTATGTGGAAATTGTAAGGACACAGTCTTCTAGAGATTGTTAAGGGGAGTGATTGACCTATATACTTTAGTAGCTCTTCTGTTATTTTACCATGCTGTCTTCATGGTGGTTTTAGTGCCCACAAAGGGGTAAAAATGATATTTAATGCAAGTTATTTCACAAGCAAAAGAATACAATCAGTACCAAATTGATTTCCAGTGATGCTTAAGAAAGTGTTGGTGTATCAAGGATTATGTGTCAGTTATTTGGAAAAGTCACTGAATTGACATATCTTATTTCCCAGAATAGATGTTTATTATGGAGTTTGTGAATTACTGTTCTGGTAGGTACTTAGTCTTTTGAAAGTATGAGTTCAGATGTTTTACTTTGGAAACTAATATACATGCCATCACCTTGGTTTATTTGTAATTATATTTTAATAGGAGCGTATCAATGAGTGTGACGAGAGATGCCTTTCAATTTTGTCAACTGCTTTAGTGACTATGGAACCATGCATGAATGTGAATGCGCTTCGCGCAGGGTTGCGGTAAGAACCTCTTAGACTTTCTTCACATGGTTTTCTCTGTGGCCCTTATGTGGGCAATTAAAATGCTTGATGGAAGTTGAGTTCCTATTTTGGGAGGCACTGGTACACATTGGTGATAGTTAATATTAATACTTTGTTAAACTTAAAATTCTAATTCTGAATGATACAAAGCTGAAGTTAGTACTTTTTAAAAGATCTAAAAAGATGTGGGTGCTATTGAAATTAGTTTTCTTTAGACTCTAGTACTGATATAAGGTCAGGGGAGAACTGACATGTATACTCAGTTCAGAAGAGTTATTTGGGTACTATGGGGGTTGCATTGCACTGCCTTATTTTAAAAAGATATAAAATTGATACAACTAATGTCATGTCACAGGTTAGTGAGAGTTATGAGGATACCTTTAATCTGGTGTGATTTGTTC